CAGCACCCCTGAGGGCTCTTTGCGTGCATAAAAGCTTTCGCTGCAGCCCCAAAGCCATGAGAGCAAGTGACAGCAGCGCGTGCCAGGCCCTACAGTGTGCAGGGAAGGAGGCGCCCGAGGGCAGTGTCGGCCTCCGGCCCCTGGGAGGGAGATGCTCCCTTTCGGGGGCTGAGAATTCCAACACCGTGAAAGGAGGCCTCCAAGAGGTCATAGCGGCTCCAGCCTAGCTTAGAGGTCTGTTCAGTGGAGTCCCAGACGAAACGGACCTAGTAACTCAGCCAGAAATCATCTACACAAGCCAGCATTAAAGGTTTTTTTTTCAAGTATTTAAGTTGTGAACACACAGCACCGTGGCCGGGACGCCCAAGGCTAAGGCACTGCACACACTTGAACAGTGACTTCCCAGCACCTCGGGGTGGGACCCCCTGGGTGTCCTGCGTCCCCTCAGTCACAGAGCTGCTGAGTCGCCAGATTGGGAGCCCGGACAGGCTGGGGGTGTTCAGAGGGCTGCAGACCCTCCTGAACTGCAGGTGCAGGTGTAGAGGGTGCACACGGCTCTGGAGAGGAGGTCTGTGACTTGTGAACCCTGAACCCTTCCAGAGGACAGGACTGCACACCCCCGGCAGGGCCTGCGACAGGGCAGGCTGCCAGCCCCTCTGCCCCCAGGAGCACAGAGGAAGTGAGGGCGGCCAGCACCACAAGCTCCTTACGAAGAAGCTGAGACCTAGGGAGGAGCCCGAGGGGCTCTGGGGGGTCGGGGAGCGGAGGGGAGTGGAAGCACACTGAGGCCCTTGTGGAGGGGCTCATTCCCAGGACCCAGGAAGTCCCCGGGGCTGGGCCACATCACTTCCCCGAGGGGACAAAAGCAAACAGCCACGAGAACTAGGAGGCCACCAGGCTCCCTCCAGGGTAGGATTTATTGTCGGAGGTCCTATTTCCTAACTTACATAAAACCACCCACATTTTGATAAATGATAAGAGGCAAGTTCAGGCAGAGGAGGTTTAGAGAGGCCGGTGGGACATTCCTGCGGGGGGGCCGCCAAGAGCACGCTGTTGATGCACATCCTGTACCCTCCTCCCCACCACAAAGGAGGTCACCCAGAGGTTGCCAAGGTGGATCAAAAAGAAACTCAGTGTGAAGAACCAAGAAGGCATGGGTCCTACGCCACCTCCCTCCAGTGGCCTCCGGGACCCACCTCCCTCCAGGGGCCTCCACGACCCCACCTCCCTCCAGTGGCCTCCATGACCCCACCTCCATCCAGTGGCCTCCATGACCCCACCTCCCTCCAGTGGCCTCCGGAACCCACCTCCCTCCAAGGGGCCTCCATGACTCACCTCCCTCCAGGAGCCTCCAGGACCCCACCTCCATCCAGTGGCCTCCATGACCCCACCTCCCTCCAGTGGCCTCCGGAACCCACCTCCCTCCAAGGGGCCTCCATGACTCACCTCCCTCCAGGAGCCTCCAGGACCCCACCTCCATCCAGTGGCCTCCACGACCCCACCTCCATCCAGTGGCCTCCATGACCTACCTCCCTCCAGTGGCCTCCATGACCCCATCTCCATCCAGTGGCCTCCAGGACCCACCTCCCTCCAAGGGGCCTCCAGGACCCACCTCCCTCCAAGGGGCCTCCAGGACCCACCTCCCCCCGATGGGCCCCCATGGCCCCACCTATGGCATCAGCCTCCATGACCTGCAGGTGCCTCTGTGGAGAAGGGACAGCCACGCGTGTGCTGTGACCCACCTTTGCGCTGGTTGTCAATATGAGTCCCGTAGTTGACTCGCCCGCGATTCTCCACCAAGATCCTCAGCATCGTGAACCCCTGCTGGGAGCACAGAGGGCACTGACGAAGCCTGATTCCCAACCACCGGGTCACAGCTGCCCCTTGGGGTTTCTCTGTAGAGCCCCAGTTCTCCCTAAATTCTGAGGACAGGATGAGGGTCCCTGCTCATCAGAAAGCCATGCCCACCCCCAGCTCTGTGGCTGAGCAGCCCCCTTGTCCAGGCCTCCGTCCAGGCCTCCCACCACACCTGCCCAGGAGGTGCCTGGCACCAGCCTCCCAACCCGGGGGACAAACCTGGATCAAGGGGATGACAATCTTCTCGCTCTTATAGTCCAGGAACCCCATGGAGACCGTGTTCACAACACCTGCCAAAGGAGCAGACAAGACCCACCCGTGTCAGCAGCGGGGGAGGCGTGGGGGTCCCTGCCAAGCACTCAGAGGTGATGGCACAGGGGCCAGGGGGAAACGAAGGCCCCAGGTTCCAGTGGGCAGCACGGCCGGTGGGGATGGGCCATCTCCACACACGGGTGCTGCACATGAGAGCCTCAAGGGAGGGGTCTGGTGTGCGGTGGGTCACGGCAGTTCAGAGGGTCACCCCTACCTGTCCCTGGTCCCGCACATCGGCACTGAGGATGTCAGAAGAGGTGATGGTGGTCTCGTACAGTGTGTACCCAAAAGACTGCCTGTTTCCCCCACTTATCGGGAGGTTCTCCATGTTGAAGGGCTTCTCCGAGGTGACCAGCTGCACAGACATGAGACGGCAGGCAGAGGCTCAGCACAGAGAGGCGGCCTCGCCCTCTGGGGGCGCGGGGAGCCGGCAGCCCCCACGGGGGTCAGCACGCGGGGGGAAGGGGCGGGTGTGGAACGTTTTCTCTATTTGACTTCTATTACACGATCAAGCTCCACAATCCTGATTTTGGCTTCTCGTCAGTCTGCAAGGCTCTCCAGGCTCTCGGGGACAGGGACGGAGGGCACGTGATAAGAACAGAAGGCAGGCTACGCACGGTGGCCTTGACGCTTTGTCACCAGCGTCACCTCTGCACCACGGCAGCCCTGAGCTGGCGCTGGGGAATGCGCCCGGCCTCCTCCCTCCTCTCTCCCTACTGCCTGCTGTGCTACCAGCTCCTCCTCTGGTTCCCTTCGTCCCTCCTGCTTCTGCCCCCCGTGCGTTTGTTCTCTTTCCTCTGAGCTCTAAGGCTGGGGAGTGGAGCCCAAGGCGGTGCCTTTTCGCTTCCTCTGGGCCAGCCCGTCCCGCCAGCAGCACGCACCTCCTCCAGGTAGGGCAGGGCGTCCCACAGGGACAGGTATAAAGCTGGCATCACTGGCTCATACGCAGTCTTGGGAAGGCCAGGTGGGACAGGAAGCGGGGCCCCTGCAACACAAGCAGAGGGCAGGGCCGTCCCCAAAGTACCCCAACAGTCGTTGTGCCTCCAGTCCCCTCCGCCCCAGCTCCTGCCCCAGCCCAGCAGAACAGGCCCCAGGTCCCGAGACCCCGCCAGGAAGGCGAGGCCAGGAGGCAGGTCGGCAGGGGCTTGCTCACATCCTCAGGAACCTTGACACCTAGGAGAAGGTGAAGCCGGCAAGACCCCAACTCGAATGAGAACAGTCGCTCACACCTGCCCGTCCTCGTTCCTGCACACGCATCACCTGGGCCTGAGGTGCGGGGTGAGGGGTTGGGGGCAGAGGAAGCAAGTCTCCTGGGGTCTCAGAGCAACAGCCAGTCGGCACCCAGCTGGGCCTGCGCCTGCGCGGGCAGGTACCTGAGACAGAGCCGAAGAACTCCCGGAGCCCTGTGTACTTGGCCGTGTAATCCCAGGCCTCCGTCAGCACCGCGTCATAGTCTGCAAGACACTAGCCGTGTCACGGGCCTCAGCCCCCAGGACAGCATTGTGGAGGCAGAGAGAGACAGGAGGAGCTGGTGGGGCAGCAGGGTCCTCGCCCCAGCAATTTGGGAGGCAGAACACTTGATGTGAGCCGTCAGTCAAAATACCACACGCACTAGACTCTACCGAATGCCCCCAAACTGCCCAGACCCTACATTCCAGGCAAGGGGCCAGGGTGACCTCATCCCAAGGCCCTGAGGAGGGGAGGGGCTACCCCCACCTGAGGGCCTTCCCTCCCGGCCTGGGCCCCCCTCCCCTCCCCAGCTGGCATCCAAAGGCCCAGGCACGTCAGCTGGCTTGTCGCCCACGGCCCTGGCAGCTTAAAAGTGACCATCCGGACAAAACCTTGCCTTCACACTAGAGGTGCCAGCCGCTGTCCCCGAGGGACGCCCCGCGAGAGCCCAGGCACGGGTGTGGGGTGCCACGTCTGGGGTACTTGCCGTAGCTGGTGACATCGGACTTGTAGTTCTGGAAGTGCACGGCTCCATTGATGAAGCCAAAGTTGGTGCCGCCGTGGAGCGTGTACAGGTTGATGGCTGAGCCAGCGCTGATGAAGGCGGACACGGTTTTCAAAGCCTCTGTGGGGGGAGAAGGGTGCACAGAGCCGGCACCTGGGGCGCGTGAGCCCGGTCCCCGCTCAGGGCCCCTCACAGCTCCGTCCTCCGGTCTCCCGAAACCCAACTGCAGTCCATGGCGGGAGGACGGGACACCGGCCCCAGAGCCCGGCTTCCAGCTGCTTTCAAGTCCCAGGCGAGTCTGCACCTCACACGGGCTGCGGCTCAGGCCCACCCGCCTGCCGGTGACGCTCAGTTAGCGAGACCTAATTAGAGACACGGTTCTGACCACCTTCCTGCCCCACCTGGCCTGGAAAATGAGCCCATGCCACAGACAGAAACAGCGGAGGAGGAATATGAATGGTTAATAAATATCTATACAGAGTTTAAAACCCCGGCATTGGTCAAAGAAATGAGACCTAAACAAGGACCTATCAGACAGCAAACGCTGACATCATTTAACACTTGGCGCTGATGAACCCGAGGGAATGGGCATCTCGTTTAACAGTGGAGGGAGCGCCGTCCTCTTCCTGGCAGGCGGTTTAGTTAACACAGATCAAACCCGCGTGCAGGAAGAAGGGCTACTGCCGGGAACTTATCGCAGGGAAACACGCCAGGTGAGCCAAACTGCTGCACGGGGTCCGTGAACACAGACCCTGGAAGCACCCAGGTCCTCATCAATAAGAGATCGTGGGTACGACACCAGCCCAACAGGCTTCTCTGCATTCTCTAGAACAGGGGTGGAATCCACACCTCACAGTGTAGGCAGCTGGGCTTCCGCGTGTCTCACTGGAACAGGCAGGTGGAGCAGACACACCTTCCCCTGCCCACACCTGCCCACACCTCCACCTGCACGTGCACCCGGGGCGGCAGACAGAGAGACAGAGGGTGCCCGCACTACACACATAGAAACGTCTGCTCTGGGCTCCGGGGTTTTAATTTCTCCGTTATACACGTCCTGCATTGGCTAGACGTTTGCGATTGGTATGCATTACTCCAGAGCAATTATAGAGACGCCCCAAAGCCGTGTCTGACCGCTCGTGTCACCTGTCAAGACAAACAGCTCTGGACACTCAGGGCTGACTGTCCACGCAGAGACTCCCGGAGCCCCACACCCTCAGCTAATTCACATGGATTAGCACCTTATCTGTAACTTATTCCTGCGTCTGAGGCCAGCACACCTGCCGGACGGGGGTCCCACAAGCACCCACCTGTGGAATCCAGGATGCTGTGGGGACCGCCCCACGAGTCAAACCAGCCCGTCCAGCACTCCATCACCATGCTGGGCTGGACGCCCTGCGCACCACAAAGTGAGAAGTTAGCCGGCACCTCCGTCCTCCCAACCCTTCCCTGGCTGCACACCTGGCCTTCGAGGCCGCAGCCAGTAGAGCACAGGGGAGCCCCCAGTGCACCCGCACTGGCTCGTCCTCCACGTGCGGCCGCCACGTGGCAGGGGGTGGATGGACCTACCAAAGTGGGTACAGCAGGCCCGGGGCCTTAATGTGGTTTCAGTGCTGCATGCGGCGCTGGCGGGGAACCCGGGGACCTGTCCGAGGTGACCTGACCTGCGTTCTCAAGAACGCAGCACCTGACCCGCAGTCCTGACAGTGGCTTTGCTGATCAAGCCCCGTGTGTCCTCTTCAGGGCAGGAGGACGTTCTATCGGGGAAACCCCATCTCTGAGAGCCACACCATGGACACAGACCCTCAGATGCTCTGAGGCCCTCTGGCCGGAGGAGTCAGGGAGGGGGCTGTGGAGCGGCCCCTCTCCCGGGTCTAGCTTGGTTTCAACAGAAGTATGCAAAACTGGACCAGAACATGAGGGCGTTCCGGCTACCACAGTGCAGGCTCTGCAGCCCGGGCCCCCAGCCTCAGCCAAGACGCTTGAAGGTCTAACACTGCTTTGGCACCCTGAGGCTGCACAGGACTGCCCCCAGGATGTAGCGGCCATGCCCGGGCCCAGCTCCGCTCTGCCCACGTGCACAGGAGCAACAGGGGAGGTGCTGCCCCGACGGCGGCCCCGCAGCTTCCACGCCACAGAGTCTTCCTCCCGCCCCAAGCACCCCCTGTGGCTGTCGGCCTGGTGTCCGGGGCCACGGCACACAGAGCATCACCGCCCCACCCAGGGGGCGGCAGATTCAGGGTCTGTTGAGCAGAAGGTCCCGACCACGCCATGGGAGAGGCCACATAAGTCACGACAATTTTCTAGCAAGGCCCGGGGCTTGGTTTTCTTAGGGGTGCCTACCTCCCGAGGGGACATTCGTACCACATTTGGGTCACTAAAGAGCATCACTACGTCACACAGGTCAGCAGCCTCCAGTGCCAGGAGGGGCCCACCTGAGGGCTGGGCTGAGCCGTCCACCACACGGCCCAGGTCACCGTGGCTCAGGGCTGGCTCGGCACCGACTGTGCTGCATGCCCTGACCTGCCACTGCCGGGGGACACCGTCCTGGAGTCTGTGTCCTCAACTGTAAAACGGCTACACGGCGGCCAGTCACGTGGCTACTGGGACAATCACATGAGATGAGGCACCTGGAGCCCTCAGCACGCGCTTCCTGGCCCTGGGAAGCGCCCAGAGACACCCGCATCCAGGCTCCCGTCACTGGACACGGGCCGGGCCGGCAAGGCGCAGCCGGACACCCTGAGTGAAGTGGAGCAGGGCCACCAGTGACCATCTGCAGGGGCCTCTGATCTGAACAGGGACAAGTCCACGGCCCCTTCTTGGAGGAAAACACGTGGCTGAGCAGTGGGAGAGAGGCTGGTGGCCACGGGCGCTATGGACAGGCCGGCCGGCCTGGGGCCACCTCTCCACAGACGACTCTGCAGGCGCCCGTGGGGAGCATGGGTGTTCTGGGGGCTCTCCAAACATCATCCCTTTGACCCTCATACAGCCCTACGAGTAGGTGCCAGCACAATTCCCACTTCACAGAAGAGGGAAGAGAAGCTGAGGGTCACAGCACCGTCCTTGTCCTGGACAACATCAAGGACGACCCTACTCAGATCCTGGGCAACTACGTACCTAACACGTCTCTTGCAAGTGGGTCACAAACTCCCCGAGGGCAGAGACCCTGTGGTCGCGGACCCACGCCCAGCAAGCACGGTACAGGGCGCGGGAAGGAGGGAGGGGGCTGGGCCTGTACCCACTTGCACGCTGTCGCCCCCAGTCTGCTGAGCAGCCCGCCGGGCCCCCCCATCCTGCTTCCTCCTGGGCACCCCCCTGCCCATCCCTCTAAGCAGCACATGGTGGTCCTCAGCCCTGGGGGCTTCACATTGCCCTGGGAGCCTCCTGCGGCCGAGCCTCTGGACGCCACCTCTGCTCTAAAAAAGGAGTAGCTGGAACGGGAGGCACCCCAGCACCCCCGCCGGCGTCTATTCTCGGGGTGGGGGGAGCGAACCCTCCAACAGCCCCGCCGGGTACAGACCTCAGGGCGGCATCCAGGCCCCGTACACAACACAGGGCGAAGGCGGCCTCCCTGCTGCCAATGGGCTGCCTCAGCTGGACCTTCTGTCCTCTTAGGGGAGAGGAGAAATCAACAAAACAGGACTTCACTGCAAGTTCCCACCAGCCCCATGGATGCTGAGATACATCCGACACACCTCTCTCCTCTGGCCTGGGTGGACCAGGCCCCCATCTGGCAGATGACAGCAGTCTTTCTGGGCCCAGAGCAACCTGACCAGTGAAGGTCAGACACAGGGCAGGGACGTGTCTCTCCCCTCGATCCCCAGGGCCCAGACTGAGCCCATCTGGGGCCAGTTGAGTCCACAGAACTCTAGTCAAGAGGCCTCTGTGAGCACACCCGCCTACAGCTTCACAAAGGGGCCCTTCTCAGGAGGCTGGAAACCACCTCCAAGCACCAGCTGACACAGCGACCCCTCAGAGCAACCGTCACACTGCTTCTGTCGCCAGGGGCAGGCCAGGCCGTGCAGGGGGGAGGGGGGCTGAGAGCTGCAAGGCTGGGCCCAGAGGCCCCCTGGCCCAGCTAAGCTCCTGACACCCAGGCTCGGCTCAGCTCACCTCCTGACTCACCTGGACACTCAGCAGAAAGGTGGTTAAAAACTGCAGCTCGTTTTGTGACTGTAAGTTGATGGTGGCTAGCACTGCAGGTGGGAAGGAGGAGAGAACAGCTGTCATCCAAAAGCCAGGAGGACTCAGAATTCCCCTGACCGTTCTCAACTCACCTGCAAATAAACGAATCTTGACACCATCTTCTACCTCCAACCAGAGTTTAGTTCCTCTGACAGCAGGAGACATAGCCGGTTCATCTTGGAAATTCCACCACTCGGCACAGACCTCACAGAGATCCACTTGCTAAGCATCTGTGCTCGATTTATGGAATTTTTACAACCATGTGCATTTCTGTTAATTACTCCCTGCGGGAGCCCGGAGTCTAACCTTCACTTTGCACCTCCGGCCTCCGGCACTGGGTGACGATCTACGTGAAGATTCCCCCTTTACATCTCAGACGAGACCTGGTTTTCTGCCCCACCCCAGCAATATTTTCCATGGCTTTCCACCAGGGAAAGGTACGCCCGAGAAAGATGTGCTATGTGTTGCCCATGGCCATGGACGTGACCAACCCCGGAGCAGAAGTTGGCTCTGAGGCTCCTCACCTGCTTCCTGTGCCTGGACGGGG